TCTTAGCTGGAGTAAAGAAAATCATGCATATATATAAAAAAGTCACAAGTGAAAACAGTTAAAGAAAAAGCACCTGTTCAGAAGCACATAGACTTTTTAAGATGAATGTCAAGCAGTCTGTTGCTTCCAAGAGGAGAAAGTGAACAAAGGAGACTGGGAAGAAGAATGGAGAGAAGTGTGTGGACTATACTTCTTTAAGACATGTCAATGATCCTAACTTACTCTTTTGTATATGTGACAGACTGGGCTGACTGGATAGCAACCCCTGGAATTTGTCAATCTTTGTATCCCCGGTGCTGTGGTTACAAAGCCTGGAGCAGCACACCTGGCTTTTTATGTTGGTCCTGAGGATTAAACTCAGTTCTTTGTGCTTGTATGGCAAATTGTTTACTGAGAAGTTACCACTCCAAATTCTATCCTTTTCTTATACCTGAGAGACAATAACCAATACTGTAGACTACTTTTGGCTGTTTCTCACAAACTTAAATGATGCTAATGCTCTTACAAGTATTACTTGTGCAATGTAGTTTGTGATGAGAGCTGCAGAAGGATCATTGTGCTCTCAAGTCATCACAAATAATCTGCTTTCATCAAAGCCAGTTTTTAAAACCACACTTTAGCAACAATTTGAGAACATCTATGCTTTCTTCCGGTTGTTCCCCAAAAATAGAAAAATAACTATACATTTTACATAGTCTTGTATAAGAAGTTAGCCAGCAATGTGGTATTATGAAATATATATTTGATCTTTATCATTGTTCTGTACCCAACAACTCTTAATATCCTTAGACTCTCCAAAATGATCTCCTTTTGTGTGTGTGTGTGTGTGTGTTCTAATGAACTGATTCATGGCTGGAATCTCCCAGAAGCTTCAGAAAAGATCTAGACAGTACTTGAGGGTTGAAACTCACCCTCAAGTACTGCCTAACCTCCAAGAAAGAGAACTTAAGCCTAAATGATCTAATTGAACATGATTATTTAAAGGGAGGAGAGGCAGAAAGGATTTGTTTGGAGATTCCAGACAGGTGGACAAAAGGTTTCTAGGGGTTGTTTTCCCTGAAAGCATGGAGTCTTTTTGATCCTTCTCTGACATACAATTGTCCTCTGCTGTTCAAAGCTGTTTGAGTTCTATGACTCTAGCAAATTAATTGTGGTGACTGTATCTTATAGTTGGTGGGTAACGTAACTGAGCTTGGGACTGTCGTCTAAAGGGAAGAACTGTGGAGATCTGGATTGAAGTAAATAAAGGGCAGCAACTGTTGTCTACTGCAGATCTGATTGATTTCTCTGTGTGGAAAACCTACATATTTTCTTACAGCCATCTTCTGTGTTGATTGTCAAGTGAGATTAGAGGAGAAAATTAATTTATTATTCCTGATAACTTAGAGGAAATGAAAGCCACATTGAGGGGAAAGATTATAGAGATTAAACACTATTAAGAAAATAGCACAAGGGCTGGAGAGATGGCTCATGAGTTAAGAGCACTGACTGCTCTTCCAGGGGTCCTATGTTCAATTCCCAGCAATCACATGGTGGCTCAAAATCATCTGTAATGGGATCCAATGTCCTCTTCTAGTGCGTCTGAGGTCAACTGGACTCATATATATAAAATAAGTAAATCTTACAAAGAAAATAGCACGTAAGAGTTAAATAAAGCCCCCTGTTAACCCACTCTTGAAAAAGTTAGACATACATGAGGTATGGAGGGATGGAAGAAATGGCTGAGTGGTAAAATTCGCTTATTCTTGTAGAGGATCTAGGTCTAGAGTTCCTCAAACCACATGTGGCTCACAACTGGATGTAATTCCAGTTCCAGGAGATCTGGTGCCCTAATCTAGCCGCCTTGTGCACCAGGCATGTACATTTACATACATGTAGACAAAACACTTCTACAAATAAAAAATAAACACACACACACATACATACATATACATATTACATTTACACACACACACACATCACCATATATATATATATATATATATATATATATATATATATATATGTATGTATAGTGGTGCATCCTTTATTCCCAGCACTAGGGAGGCAGAGGAGGTGGATCTCTTGAGTTTGAGGCCAGCCTGGTCTACAAAGTGAGTTCGAGGATACTCAGAGCTACGTAGTGAAACCCTATCTCAAAAAAAAAGAAGAAATAAGACAGAAAAAGAAAAGAAAAAGAAAAAAGGAATAATAAAAAAGACTAATGATCTTAAATATCAGAAAAGAAAATAAACAGAATGATAGCATGACAGTAATTTTTTAAATTTTTATTTAATCTTTTTTTTTTTTACATTTTATCCCCCTCCCAGTCTACCCTCTGACTGTTCTTCATCCCATACTTCCTCCCCACACCCCTGTCTCCACTTGGATGTCCCCACCCACCCCCAACCCCCAATACCACCAAACCTCTAAACTCCCTGGGCCCTCCAGTCTCTTGAGGGTTAGGTGCATCTTCTATGACTGAACCCATACATGGCAGTCCTCTGCTGTATATGTGTTGGGGGCTGCCTATCAGCTGATGTATGCTGCCTGGTTTCTAGTCCAGTGTCTGGAAGATCTCTCAGGAGTCTTGGTTAATTGAGACTGCTGGTCCTCCTACAGGGTTGCCCTCCTCCTCAGCTTCTTCCAGATTTTCCTTAATTCAATCACAGGAGTCAGCAGCTTCTGTCCATTGGTTGGGTGCAAATATCTGCATCTGACTCTCTCAGCTGCTTGTTGGGTCTTGCAGAGAGCAGTCATGGTAGGTCCCTTTTTATAAGCACCCCATAGCCTCAGGAATAGCTTTGGGCCCTCCCCTTGAGCTGGATCCCTCTTTGGGCCTGTCACTGGACCTCCTTTTCCTCAGGTTCTTTTCCATTTTTGGTCCTGCAGTTTTAGACAGGAACAATTATGGGTCAGAGGTTTTGACGGTGGGATGGCAACCCCATCCCTCACTTGATATCCTGTCTTTCTCCTGGAGGTGGGCTCTAGAAGTTCCCTCTCCCCACTGTATTTCATCTAAGGTCTCTCCCTTTGAGACCTGAGAGTCTTACCTCCCAGGTCTCTGATACATTCTGGAGGGTCCCCCAACCTCCTACCTCTAGAGGTTGCCTGTTTCCAGTTTTTCTGCTGCCTCTCGGGGCTTCAGTCCTTTTACCCTACCCAGTACCTGATCATGCTCCCCTCTTCCCCTCCCTGTCCCCTTTTCCACCTAGGTCCCTCCCTCCCTCCCTTGCTGCTGTGATTGCCTTTTTCTCCCTTCCAAGTGGGATTGAGGTGTCCTCACTTGGGCCCTTCAGCTTGTTGACCTTTTTGAGTTCTGTGGGCTGTATCTTGGGTATTTTGTACTTTTTTTCTTGGCTAATATTCACTTATCAGTGAGTACATACCATGCATGCCCCTTTGGATCTGAGTCACCTCACTCAGGATGATACTTTCTAGTTCTAGTCATTTGCCTGCAAAACTCAGGATGTCCTCATTCTTAATAGCTGAGTAGTATTCCATTGTGTAAATGAACCATATTTTCTGTATCCATTCTTCTGTTGTAGGACATCTAGGTTGTTTCCAGCTTCTGGCTATCACAAATAAGGCTGCTTTGAACATAGTGGAACATGTGCCCTGGTGGCATGGTGGGGCATCTTTTGGGTATATTCCCAAGAGTAGTATTGCTGGGTCTTTCCAATCTATTTCCAATATTCTGTGGAACCTCCAGATTGATTTCCAGAGTGTTTTTACCAGTTTGCAATCCCACCAGCAATGGAGGATTGTTCCTCTTTCTCCACATCTTTGCCAACATGTGTTGTCACCTGAGGTTTTGATCTTAGCCATTCTGATTGGTGTAAGGTGGAAACTCAGGGTTGTTTTGAGTTCCCTTCTCAGCCATTCCAGATTCCTCTGTTGTGACTTCTCTGTTTAGTTCTATATCCCATTCTTTTTTATTAGGTTGTTTGGATTTTTTGGTGCCTAGCTTCTTGAGTTCTTGTGCCAAAGAGTTCAAGGCTCTTTCCCACTTTCTCTTCTATTAGATTCAGTGTATCTGGTTTTATGTTGAGGTCCTTGATCCACTTGGACTTGACCTTTGTGCAAGATGACAAATATGGGTCTATTTTCATTTTTATACGTACAGACAGCCAGGTAGACCAGCACCATTTATTGAAGATGCTTTCTTTTTTCCATTGCATATTTTTGGCTTCTTTGTCAGAGATCAAGTGTCTGTAAGTGTGTGGTTTTATTTCTGGGTCTTGAATTCTATTCCATTTATCAATGTGTCTGTCTCTGTATCAATACCATGAAGTTTATTTTTTAAATTTCAACAATGTGGGTCACTTTATACAGTGGGCCATACAGTACCCTTGCAAGTGCATTAAATAGTAGGTCTCAGATCTATGCCAGACCAAAGGATCAGAAGATATCCAGGTGATTCATAAGCCTACAAAGTGAGAATTTTGGTTTCTTTAAAACCCTAGTTATGGAATATGGTTTTGTTTCAGTCCCAGGTATGGGATAAGAGGCTGCTGCTTCATAGCAGGTAATTATGGTTAGCCTCCTGCACTAGAAGGGATGTTTCTGCTAGCTCCTGATAGTTTCTTTGAATGTGTGATATTTGGAATTCTGGGAGCTTTCAAGAGGGTATAAATTTGAGAGCCCTGGGGTGGGTGGGGTGCTCTTAGGAGGCTGCTGCGGGTCCCTGCTGCTGTGGTTTGTCAGGGAGTCATGAGCAAAAAGGAGAAGAAGAAATTAAATTTTCTGAAGGCATAGATTGGATTTGCCCCCAAGGAACTCAAGCCCTTAACCAGCAGGAAGTCATCTAAAGAGATCTATGCCTCTCACCTTTCCCCTCTAACCTTTCTCTCCTATTTAGTATTGGGGGTTGAAAGGGATTAGAGTGGAATAAGGATTAGAAGGATGGTAGATATAAGAACCTAATAAAGGAGACCAAAAAATAATAATAACACGCCAACAATATAGCTATGTGATGTTTTTATTTAAGTTAATTAGACTTGATAAAGTGACTTTGTTTTAAAAATAAATAAAAAATTCAGCTTTTTACAAGTGAAGAATATACTTCTATCATATAGCCCAAACCCAGTGATTAATTAAAAAGGAATCATGAAACATGGGTCTTATATTTATTAGGGGTCATTTCAGAGTTATTTTAAAATGACAAGAAAAAAAAATGAAATTACCTAAATCCTATCAGAAATTTCACAGCACTAATCTAACCTGTGTCCTAAGATTTATTCCAAATCTTCCAATATATGTAAATTTGCTACATTTAATACTTTAACTCCCTGTTTTTACCTAGGGACATACCACCCTAAATGCCCCTGTCTCCTCTAAATCCCCAATTTCTTTTGAAGTATATGTACTTTTAATTTTTCCTGTTTTAATCCCCCTTCATTGTAGTCTTTATAGAGGTAGAACACAGATAAAAGATAACAGAGTGCCCTGTTTCATGTTGCCTGTTAAATTAGTCAGTCATCGAGCTTGGGCTAAACAACAGAAGTATAGTCTTCACTTGTAAAAAGCTCTATCTGTCTATCTATCTATCTATCTATCTATCTATCTATCTATCTATCTATCTATCTTAAATTTATTTATACATATAGTAGTGATTATTTAGATTTATTTATTTTTAAAATAAATTTATTTCATTTTAAAATAAATGTATTTACTTTTCAAGTATCACTTTTTTCTAACTGTAGCCTTTCAGCTATTTCTAATACTAATTAATGAATGAATTAGTAGTCAAAAAAGTAAGACCGTGAAAGAAGTCAAGTGGTGATATGATAGTCTTAATGAGTTTGGTTAACATTAATAAATAATTCTAAATTATAAAAAAAAAAATCAGACCCTTATATAGCTTCGTACCACTAGCCAAGTTAGACAAACATAAGCTTTTATCATAAAAATCACAGTGACTACAAGGTAAAAATATCACAGTGAAATATTTCAGATTTACTTTTGGCCGCTTTTGAACTTAGAAAACAGGGAGCGCTTCATAATGATCTTGTTTCACTAAGCAGCTCAGTCTTCAAGTCCCACAGAACATTTTCTTGTACTGATGATAGCTGCTAAAAAGGCAGCTTCACACAGATCCTTATGCTGCAATGATGGTCAGAGAGCTGACCACGTTTGAGCAAAGAAATGCAATTTGTGGAGCATGTTACTACAGGCATACTTGGCAAAGGATGGTACTCAAGGCAGAGGACAAATCAGTTGTATAAGTAACAACTTAGAATACTTACGCTTTCCTCTTCCTGTAGTCAAGATACCTGAGCATGATGAGACAAATTACAACAACTCCAACCACTACAAGAAAAGGAAAATAAATTGCATGTGACTCTGAGAATCGTTAGGGCCTAGGTAAAATATTAAGGCCTAGATGTTAAGGCCTACTAGGTAATAGGTTATGGCCTAGGTAAAAGTTAGTTGGTTAGCCTGCCATCAAAAGGTAACTTTCTCATGTGTTTCTGCTGTTACTAGGAAACTTTTTTTTTTTTTCGAGACAGGGTTTCTCTGTGTAGTCCTGGCTGTCCTGGGACTCACTCTGTAGACCAGGCTGGCCTCGAACTCAGAAATCCTCCTGCCTCTGCCTCCCAAATGCTGGGATTAAAGGCGTGTGCCACCACAGCCAGGCTACTAGGAAACTTTCTAATGCCGAGATTGATTACATATTCTATTATGTTCCGTGCCCTTGGAAGCCAATTACAATAAAAGTCAATAGAACGGTTTGTATAGTTACCTACAATAAGCTTGGACCCAAACCAACCACTCAACAGCACTTCCTGCACCTGTGTATAAGCATTTATGGTTTAAGCTGCCTGTGGGATAGACCCCAACATAAGAGAGACACTTGTACCAATATAAGAAACTATGTCCCAAGACCTCGCTGGGAACTGACATCCTACTTGGCAGAAAGAGACATGTATGTATTTAACTGGCATCCTGGTTAGCAAGTTAAGACATGAATGCTAGACAAGGCAAGTCCTCTGCCTGCCACAGTTGAATACTCCAACCAATGGAAGCAGGATAAATTTACAACAGAGACATGTTCCTAAATAAATCCCCTATCTCTAAATCCTGATTGGTGAAATAACCTGGCACAGATGTTTGTGGATTTGGGGCTTTAAAACCCTATAGGATCTTAACTTGGGTCATGGTTCAGTTCCTGAATCTGTACCATGGCCCTGGTCGACTAGTCTCGGGGTGAATGCTCAATAAATGATCCCTGTTGGAGTGAGATCAGTGTTTGTGTGGTTTGTGAGGCAATTACTGAACCCCATCGAGAATGACTGCCAAACTCAAAATCTAAGCAGGAAAAATAAATCAGTTATAGATTTAGATGCCATCTAGACTCTATTCTCTAAATCCAATTCCCTGGAATCACAGACCACAGTAAGAAAACGGAGATCACTGGCTTGATTTTAAAAATTATCAAAAGCATACTTAGGATGAACATTCATAGTACATCATCTGAAGAAAGCACATAGTGCTTCCAGGCTACTTCTAAGCAGACATGTAGATTATGAAATAATATAAGTTAGCAAAGGGTAATACATAAATGACCAGGTTTTTCTAAGTTAGTTAATTTTAAGTTTAAGTTTAAAAACTATACAAGCCAAACAAAAGAAAAGAAAACAAAACACGTGCTGCTTTACAGTAACAGATTCAAGCAGTGAGAATTTTGAGATACTTACGTGAAGTAATAACAATCAAAGCATTAATCCATGCATCTAAAGAAAAAAAAGTCAAACATTTACATTTAGAAGTCTCTAGATCAGTTCAGATAATCCACACTTAGGAGAACACACTCACTAATGTACCCAAGTCATTTATATCAAAGAATACTTATAAGCCCATTTCCAGGTTTGGGGTCCAACTTGTAAAATTCAGTTTTCAGTATTATTTCTTTTCTTACTCCATCAGTTTATTTGGTAAAGGTTATTACAGAACAATTAGGATTCACTGAATAGAGGAAAATCATTACACAATATACTGTCTTCTTGTATTTGGTTTGGTTCAGTATGCATTCTACAGTTTCTTATAATTTTAAAAAGAAATCCACTTTTCCCAAAAAGTGTATCTGAAGAATGTCATAAATAAGTTTCAGTTAATTAAACAGATAATGTTTGCAGTTCTTACAAATAATTACCTTATCAGGGCCCTGTCTTCCTTCCTATGCCCCATTGCACCCCACCCCCACCTTCCAAATGAAAACATAACCCTAAATACCAAAGACCTTCCCTTTTCAAAGTGTAACCTAAGAGGTGGAGATATAGCACAGTAGCAGAGCATTTATGTGACATGCTCAAGAAATGTCTGCATACATTGATAAGTCCTGCAGAAGAATTTAAAGAATCATAATTGACTGACTGGGTATGCTGATTTTCTTTCTGTTGATGAAATAAAATATTCTGGCCAAAAGCAACATAGAGAATGAAAGAATTTGTCTGGGTTATAGTTCACTCAGGGAAGTCAAGGCAAGAATTTGAAGGCAGGCCTGTCAGCTATTCCGTGGTACATTACCTTTAACAAGGAAACTCACAGCTAAGGGAACACAGCAGAAACTATGAAGAAAGGTTATTGCTTGCTTGATAGAAGGTTCATGCTTAGCTAGCTTTCTTTGGTTTGGGGCGGGGTTTTGTTTTTTTTTTCTTTTTTTTTTTTTTTTTTTGAACTAGCTCTGTAGACCAGACTGTCCTCAAACGTACAGAGATTCAGGAATTAGGGTTTGGCCTCAAATTTACAGAGATTCACCTGCCTCTGCCTCCAGAATGCTGGGACTAAAGGCATGCACTACCACTGCTTGACTTTAGCTAACTTTCTTAAACAGTTAAGAACCATCTGCCTAGGGAAAGGTTCTGCTCATAGTGGACTGAACTCTCTCCTACATGTGTCAACAATCAAGTCAATACCCTTTCCCCAGGCCCGAAGGCCAATCTTGATCTGGGCAGATTTAAATTGACATTGCCTTTTCAGGTGACTCTAGGCTGTATCAAATTAACAGCTGATGCTAATTAGATTATCAGAGAACATTAAATTCTAAAAATTCTTAAATTTTGGAAGTATTTATGTCTAGCAATTCTAGAGCTGCATCATTTTTATTAAATTGCTGTCAGTCAAAGAATGAAATGTTAGTCTTTCTTCATTCTACTCTTCCCAGTTATCACATGTTTAACAGTTTAAGAAAGCACTGGGTCTACTGGCATAGTGATACACAGGGACCACAAAACTGGATGCTGAGGCATACATAGAAAGTTCCCAAACTGTAATGGTTTGACCAAATGGTTTTCATTTTACATCGGTATGATACTGATGCATACTCAGCAGAAGCTGATGTTGAACTTTGAATTTTGACATTTGCCTGGGTTAGCAATATGACATAGGCTGTACCTTAGATTTTGGCAGTGTTGGAAAGCCTCTTTCCCTACAGAGCCAGGATCACATAAGTGAGATCAGAACTCTGACTGTCTCTGATAATCTTCAGATAGATATGCTCAGTGCATTTTCAACTGAGGATATTTCATTTACCATGGGTTTATCAGATGTAATTTCCCATGTATATACAGACACAATTGTATAAAATAATAAGCCAAAAGTAATTTTTAAGAAGAGTAATCATTACTAATCTAGTCTAATAAATAAAATGAAGCAGATTTTTGTTTTATCTTAAGTTGGTAAATTTCACTGAATTTTAATTGTTGTAACTATACTTGATTTCGTTTAATGTATATTGTATAAACTGAAGCCTATATAAATTATGACAGAAAAAAGGCTAATCTAACTTATAGTACCTTAAGGTCTGTGTATATCAGACACTGGGAGGCAGGTTGTGTTTTATGTACTTTAACACCAGCTGACTACCTTTCCTATTATTAAGACCCTTCTATGAAACTGTACTTATCTACCTATCACTCTACATGGTGGGACTTACATTTGTCATGGTGACAGCCCAAAGTTAATAATCCTAAGTGTCAACTATCACTACTGACGAGATATGCTGTTTCTTTAACTGCTACTAACTGAAATGTATATTTCCATGTAAACTCTTAAGTTGTCATAATTCAGGGGTGTAAATAATTGAAATAATTGAAATAATAACCTAATTCTTGGCCAAATATTCCTTCACGGGGATTAGGATATCCTAGAGAAAGAAAAAGAAAGAACGAAAAATGAGTTAGGTAAAATAAAACAAAAAGATATAAAAGTCAAAATCGTCTAAATTGCTGTTTATTTTCACCCATGTGTTAAGACTCCTTAACTTCCATTTTCCTTAAATATCTCATTAATATTCCCTATTTTGAATAGCATCATAAAATCCTACATTATTCCTTTCTTCCTGTCCACTAATATTCCCTATAGTGACTATAGTATATAGTGGTATACACAGTTCCTTTTTAGTATTCCCTTAAAATTAGTGTGTAAATTTCATGAGATCCTAATGAAAATTAAAGATACTGAGTTGGCTCAATAAACACTTTAGTTATTAACCTGAAGTGGAAGAAAACTTTCTCAACAAAATAAATAACATGTAATAATAACCCACAGTTAATTTTATCAATAATGAAAGACTGAAAACTTTCCCTCTAAAATCAGGAACAGGACTGGATTCCTCTGTTTGCTAATTATAGTCAATATGGTATTGAAATCTAGCCAATGCAATCAGGTAAGAAAAACAAAGAAAATGATTACGAGTTAGAAAGGAATACATAAAAATCTATGTTTGAAAATGCCATGATCTTGTGCTGTTGGAGTTGAATCCAGGCCTAAGCATGATAGCCAATCACTGTACTACTTTGCTACAGCCCCAGGCATGACAGGTGCTTCTGTGTAGACAGTCTTCCATAAGACTAATGAGCTCAGTAAAGTTGCAGAATACAAAGCCAACACACCAAGAACAATGACTACTTTGAAAAGGAAATGATGACAGCTATATTTGAAATCGCATTTAAAAAGGTAAAATCTAAAAATAATCCCAAGGCAGTAACAGTCTTACATGAAGAAATCTACAAACCTTTTCTACAAAAGATTAAAGAGATAAGTACATGGAAACTCATGGTTGTGATTTTCATACAAGCATCCCCCAAGAGCTCATGTATTGAAGACATGGTACTCAAATGATGGACCCAGTTATTGAAAATATGGTGGCATTGTGTAGATAGAGTCCATCACTAGATATATAATTTGCGGGCAGCATTAGTAAGTGGTAGTGACTAAGAAGTGGGCCCTGCTGGAGGATATAGGCACGCCTCTGAAGGCCACACTTGGTCTGTCTCTCTCAGATCTCTAGCTGTTAAAAGACAAGTAGACTCCTCTGCCACACACTCTCACTTCTATGTCAGCAGAACCTCTGAAACAGTGAAAATATATCGTTTTCTCCTTTAAAATTATTTCTCGTTGTGTTCTGTCATAACAATAACAACAAAACCAAATCCTGTGTTTGCTAGACAAAAAAATTTACTGATTTATTTAATACTTATAAAATTGTTTAACACTCAAACAGTTTACAGAGTCAATGTAACCCCTATTAAAATTGTGATGATACTTTCTTTCTGCATAAGTAGAAAAATCTATTCTAAATCAGTATAAAATTTGAAGAACACAAATGAGAGAATTCATACTTCTTGGTTTCAAAATGTACTAAGATATATTAATTAAAACAGTATAGTATTGAGATAAAGATAGACATTACAGAACTATGGAACGGAATAGAACTCAAAAATAAACACATATACACATTTAATGTGATTTTAAACTAGGATGCACAAGAACAGTCACTGGGGAAAGGTAATATCTTCACCAGTTTGTGTTGGGAAATTAGATATTTTCAGCTAAAAGAATGAGGCTAAAGTTTTAAAATAAAAAAACTTAGATTGATCAAATTATTAACTAGACTATCTAAAACTATAAAACTTTTAGAAGAAAAGATGGGGAAACATTTTATGATTTTAGGGCTGACTGATATCTTGAGTGTGACACAAAGAATAGGCAACAGTAAAAAGAAAGCAGCAGATTAATTGAATTTCATCAAAATGAGAAGTTTTGTGCACTAAAGGACACCAACAGAGTGAAAAAGCAATGCACAGAATGAGAGGATATGTTGGTCAACTGCACATTTAATAAGCTATTTATAGAATATAAAAATTACTCTTAAAACTTACCGACAGCATACCAAAATGGAAAAGCCCAGGGACTTGAATAGGTATTTCTCAAAAGAAGATACATAGATGACCAACAAGCCCATGGTAAGATGCTCAATACTTCACTAATCTTAGGGAAATAGAAGCAAAACCTAATGATACTAACCACATCTACTAACTTGGCACTATGGCTTGAATGTTTGTTTTTTTCAGAACTCATGCAGAAACATCTGCCAACATAAGGGTACTGAGAGGGTGAGAGCACACATGTGCCATTGTCTAGGGTCTGGGTTCACTATGGCACGAGGAATTCTGCGATGTTGCACAGACTTTTCCCTGCCACTCGTTTTCCTTCTGTCATGTTATGCTGTAGCGAGAAGAGCTTTTTCCAAAGAGCAGGACTTTGACATTATAGATCTCCCTGAATCCAGAACCATGAGAGGGAAGTTTCTGTCCATCAGAAACCTTCAGCTGTGGTATTCTGTTATAGTGACACAAAACAAACAGATGGTTCTTGTTACAAAAAAAAAAAATAAAAAATAAAATGAAACGAAAGACCAGCACAACTAACAGAGAAGACGCAGGGAATCTGGAGCTTTTGTTCACTGCCAGTGAGAGTATAGATTATGTAGCAGCTGCGGAAGACTGCACAACATTTCTTCAAAAAATGAAATTGCATCACCTTATGACCTGGGAGTTCTACTCCTGGATGTACACTAGAAGAATTCAAAGTGGAAACTTTGAACAGGTGTCTAACTCCATGTTCAAAACAACACTGTACGGAATAGCTAGGAGGTATACATAACCGACCTTAGTTTATCAACAGATGAACAAATAAAAAAAAGTGTGGCAATACACACACATAGTGGAGTATTATTCAGGCATGGAAGAGAGTTCTAGCACCAGATGAAAGTTACATGGATTGCAAAATACTTTTCAAGGGATATAGCTATATGAAGTAAGCAAGACACAAAAGGACCAACGCTGTATGATGTAGCTGTAGGAGGTACTTAGAACAGACAGCAGTGTAAGGGGAAACAAGGAGAGCGGTGTTCAGGCAGGTGCTGGGAGCCAGAGGGAAGGGAAGTCATTGTTTAACAGTGGAAATCTCAGTTAAGGATAGTGAATGGGAATTGGCTTCACTAGAATGTCAGGGTGCGTAATGCCAAAGAACTGTCTGCTTAAATTGTAAAATTATCAGTGTTATCTATAGATTTTAAAAAATATGTCAAATATTAAAAAATAAAAGTACTGTGGATAAAAAACACAAATCTGACACAAGAATGGCTAGAGTTCAAAGGAGGAAGAGAGCCTTAATCCCTGTGACTTTATGTGCAATTGGACGGGGGCAAGCTGTCTTCTCCTCAGCTGAAGAAGCTCTGCTTATAGTTCACCTACATCAGCACTTCTTAGTCCTTAAATGGTAATGAGGGAGGGAGGAACCCTGTTACCTCTCCCTGCAGACATCATCATGTGTTTCAAATGTACCAACAATTCTGTATGACATACTCAGATACATGTCTGAGATTATGTAATTCCCACCACTGAAACTACAAAAGCTTCCTATTTAAAATTTTATTTTTATTTCTTAATTCATGTGTCTCTATATGCACATCTGTACATCTGTGTGTGTGTGTATGAGTGTGTGTGTGTGTGTGTTTTGCATGTATGTGCCATGTGTATTCACGTACCCTAGAAGACCAGAGGAGAGTGTCTTTCTCCTGAAGTTGGAGTCACAGGTGGTTGTGAGCCACTCTACATGGGTACTGGGAATCAAACTTGGGTCCTGTACAGAGAAGGACTTGCTTCTGCTTTGAACCATTGAATCATCTGTCCGTCCCCATCCTTATCTAAAGCTTTTTACATAACATACAACTTGTAGACATCGGTGGAACAATTAATAAATAATCACCCAATCATGTCAAACTTCTGGACACACATGACCACTAGCAGAATAGTAAAGTATGATATATAATATGCAACTATTATGAGACTACATCTAAATAAATCTCAATCTAAGACATTAAGTGGAAGGAACAATTCAATAGGAAACATAGAGTTTGATATAAAAGTTTTGCTTAAAAAAAAAGAAAATATGGACTGAGGAGATAGCACAGGGGTTAAACACTTTGTACATAAGAGAGATGATCTGAGGTTTTGATCCCCAGAAACCTACATAAATGTAGGCAATCTACCTATATTTCTAGCCTTGGAGGCTAGCTGTATTTGTGGGCTCTGGGTTTGACTGAGACATCCTGTCACAGTGAATAAGGTGGAAGAGAAATACCCACACTTGCATTCACATACGTAACATAGACACACACACACACACGCAGACACCACATAAAAGAATGAAGTTACAAAAAATAAGAAAGAAAAAGTAAGATAAGGTTGACGTATAAGAACAAATAAAAGGCAACCCTAAAATTATTAGTAGTAATTAACCTTGGAAACATTATTTATAGAATTTAAATGTATAAAAATAAATCTATATCCAGCAGTATAGAAACCTAAAACTTATTAGTATAAGTAAAAATAGTACAAAAACATTCATTTCACATTAAAAGTTTATAAACTTTTAATAATAGTTTTTTTATTAAAAAAAAACCCTATTAAATCCAAATCAACAAAACATTTTAGAAAAATGGGAAAAAATATGAGTAAATGCTCACTGGACTTGGTGGCAAGAACCTAAAGGCAAAGGTCACTTGAGATGAGGATTTGAAGAGAGTTTGAGCATCATAGTGACACCTCCATCCCCCCCCCCAAAAAAAATTCAGCTTTATTTTTTTTAAGTTAAGAAATGAAATTAAAACCACACCATTTTTCACCTATGTCTCATGGAACTCATTTAACTACCTCAGTTAAGATAAAGAACTGTCAAACCTGGATAGTTGTAAACTGGAGGTTTGGTGGGATGAGTAGGCTTAGGACCTAGAAAAATAGATTGAGTCTATCAATTGATTTGAATTATTGATATAAAATTATGGGTTTAATTCTAATATTTAAATTTTGAAAAAGATTACCTATGAAAGGAAAAAAATACACATACTTCCTGTTCTTTATAGTTCTATGTCTAGGGAATGTTTGGCCTACATATATAATTGCAGACATGTGTACAAGAATGTTCATTATAGCTTTGTATTTTACAAATACAAATCCTATAAGGTAACTAAAAGTAAATTATAAAAATAATGTATTCAAGGTAAACATGCCTCCTAACAAGTCAGATGCCGTACAAACAGCATCATGATCTCTCTACTTTTCACACACCATCAGACCTACCATACCACCACCAGTACGGGCTGCTACTGTTGCTTTCCAATGCACGTCTTTCCTAATGGACAATAAAAAGTGACTGACAATTCTACCAAGTCTTTTATTATTATTATTGTTATTATTATTATTTTACAGAAGGATGCATCTAGTTTCTCTTTTGTACTTTTTTCTCCCATGCTTTGTCTTTTAAAGAATAAACTAAGTTAGTGTTTTATAAATCTTTTATCAGGTGCTTACTGTCAACTCTTTCAAAGATTCCTTTCAACAGATTCTCAACTAACATACAGAAAGTAGCTACTGGGAAGTATCAGGGTCTTGTAGAAATTATACAAATATATTCCAGGGGCTAGGCATTGTGATACATGCCTCTAATGTCAACACTTGGGAGCCAGGAAGATCTCTGTGAGTTTCAGGCCAGCCTGTTCTCCAGAGACTGTTCTAGTACATAGTGAAACTCTTGTCTCAAGAAAAGAAAGAAAATAAAAAAGGGGTTTCTAATAATTACTGGGTGAGCATGTACATGAGAACTCTCAATTCTCTCCATCCTTTAAAATGTGAAGGAGTTAGAGTATGTTTTAAACAAGTTAGATCCAGTAATTGAGATTTACTTGAGTTCAATATCCTTGTAAGAGCAACAGGAATCCAAAGCTCATAGAAATGAAATCAGTTTGTTTAGGCAAAGTCAAGCTATGATCCTGTGTACAGTCTGCCCTGCCTGCTGCTCTGTCCTCTGTCTGGCTGGTGCAGCCTCTACGTGGAAGCACTGAAGTGGAGTTAGTGGCTCCTCCCATGATAACAACTTCTCTGTGCTTAACAGCAGCTGAGTAGGTGTCTCCAGAAAACCTTCTATTTCATTTCAGTAGTAGAGACTCCCTAGCTCTCAGTTGCTAAGAAATTCAGTCTCTGTTGTCAAAGCTAGCTGGAAAAGACAAAAATAACAAACGAATAAAAATTGTAAGTAGGTAAAGGGAGTGGGAAGGAAATGGAAAATGCAGGTCTTGTTCTGGTGGCAACAAAAATTTCTATTTATATGTGCTACTTAAAAAGAACTGAAAAGTTGGGCGTGTTGGATGCCTGTAATTCTAGTAGTGAAGGGACTAAAGGAGTAGTGTGACTTTGAGGCTAGCTTGGGCTACATACAAGACAAACAAACAAACTAACAAGACTCCCACCCCTAAACTGATGACAGTTCAAAAACTGAAACATCACCTGAGTCTAACATGATAAAGAGCAAAAGTGTAAGCAAGTCACTTGAAAAAAATATAAATTAGCAAAGCTTAGTACAGAAAACACCCTCAACAAACAGAAGCCTAGAACCTCCCTTTTCATTCATAGAGAAGACATGGTAGCTAACTGTAAGAGCCTCCTATCTACTGGCACTGTGCTAAATCCTTTAATGGTACTTTACTTAAGTCTTGAACCCAATATTATTAATTTTACACATTGAAATACACATTTAAAATTGATATAACTTTTCTAAGTTTACTTTCCTCTTCATGTGTGGAGCTGTGGCAAATCGGATAGAGTTACTGCGTCTGACAAATGAAATGGCTGCAAATATATCTTGTCCCTCTGCGCTATTAAATGGACTAAATGATGACTAAGTTGACACTGTGGGAATTTAAAGAGTGTCTGAAAAAAAATCAACAGGAATTTAAAATATTTTTTAAGAAAAAGTGAGCAAAGTTTTACTGAACCTGAATAACTCGAAGCTGGAGGTTTTATACCGAGGTAGACCACACTGGAAACCAGAACAATGGAATTTCGACCACCTTTCCCTCTCATGAGCCCATGACTTTCATTCTTGACTTAATTATATAGCAGTGAAAAGGCTTCAATTTACTCTGAAAGTTTGTCGCAATCCACTTTCTATACAGAAGTATTCTTAGGAAAACTTACATTCTGCTATGCTCTATCTAATAAACTAAAATCAAAACAGAAAACCTGCCCACAGTAGCAGAATTTTATGTCATATATGTGGCACAGGCTTGAGGTGGGTACTAAATTATTGCTTTTCTGGTATCATAATATTTAATGTCAAAGATACAAATTTTAAAACAAGCAAGGAAAAAAACAACAGAAAAATTAAAAAAGGGGGGAAATAATACAACCTTTGTACCTTTAAGACATTTTGGGATAGATGGCATCCAAGAGCTATGAGAACTACAGACCGCCATGCTACTGCCTTCCATGTAAAATCCCTCCACACATTCAAACATCACTGTTTCTTGATAGGAAAATTTTTTTCTAGCTCTTGGTATCTGTCGACCATTTGGTAGCACTGGAAATGGACATTTTACCACTGAAAAGAGGAAAAATTGCAAAGAGTTTAATAAAAATCTGGTTTATTTTTCATATTAGTTTTCTGAAACTTAAAACTACAACCTAGAGTTAAAGAAACATATTTTGTGTTCTAAATATATGAGCACACAGCTCGCTCAAAAGTTCACGTTAATATTCAACCTATGCCAATGCACAGGGTATCTTCCATTGTTGCATATTCCTTAAGAGGTAAAAGGAGTCAAATCTAGTAGATTGATTCATACTCTACAGAAAGGATTGTGGGAGAGGGACAAATATTGCTAGGCTAGGCACTGTGGATATGTCAGAATACACTGTGAGGTAAAACCCGAGCAGCAGCTAAGACCCGATCATGTGGGCCTAAGCCTCTATTCCTTTCAGCCCAGAGCTTCCTTTAACAATTCTTGAAGGTTGACTAGTAAGGTTCTCAGCTTTGGTTTATGTGGAAATGGTTCACTTATTTTAAACATTCTGTCCTGAAGGGTTTCTTCTTGATGAAAGATCATAGGTTAATTATTTCGTTTTAATAAACACCATTGTCTCCCAGCCTCAATTAAGAGAAGCCAGCTTTTACCTCCTGATTGTTTACTGCTTTTGTGGTTCTTTGAAGTAGCAAACTACTAAAACCTACCAAATTGCTCACTCTCTCTCTCTCTGTCTCTGTCTCAGAAACAGAGAGAGACAGAGAGGGACAGAAAGACAGAGAAAGTTCACTGAGTTTCCTAGATGTGAGATTGTTTTGAATCCAATGTTGGTAATTTTTTGTCAGTATTTATTCAAGTAATTTTCAATTATATTTTGAGATGGGGTCTTATTTTCTAAGATTGCATGTACTTAGAGCCATCCCTGGCTCAAGTGATTTCCTGTACTGTTCTTTACCAATTACATTTATATTTAACTACTTAATGTTCTTCATAAGTCTGTAAGTCAATCCTCTTTAAAAAAAATTCTTGATAAATTATGTTGGATTTCCACTGACCTGTCTTCAGTTCAACTAATCTTTTATTTAGTTATATAATATTTATTATATTATTTATAATACATAAATAAATATGGCTATGAAGATTTAGTTATATTTAAAGTTAGGGATATTGGCTATAATTTGAATGTTGTAAAACTCACCTTTTCAAGTACAGTGGAGGTCTGAGAAAAACATATTAAGGGGCACACTTATCTAACACAGTTTATACACAGGGAAGTTCTAGCACTCTAAAATTTCTCCAGGTCTGCTTGTAACACATCCTTGCTTTCCTACTTCTATAAACAGCCAGCCATTTGTCTGTTTTCTATTCATATCATGTAAGTGGACCACCTGCCTTTCACTGTTTCACTAAGTACTAGGGATGAGGGATCCACTTGTGGTTTTGCATAAGCCAAAAATTTACTCTGTTTTTTTCCTGAGTGTTAATTTATTATTTCTATTAGCAATAGATATTTGTTCCTCATTTCATACGGTGAATGTGTTTCCAGTTTGGGATGATTGTAAATAAGGTATCCAGAACATCCTTAGACATGTTGTTTGCGTGTTTCCATTTAATGTGGGTTGCTGAGTCATGTGGTACATGCAGTGGCTTGAATGCCAAATGGACCAGACACACTCAGTGTTTGAGCACTAGCTGGGGAAACTGTGGAACCTTTAGAAGGTGGAACCCTCTTTGGAGGAAGTGGGACCCTGGGAGTGGACTTCAAAGTTTTATAATCCTGTTCCACTTCCTGTCGGTTCTGTTTCTTGTTCTACTAAGATTCGAGAAATCCTAGTCACAATCCTGCCACCAAGGAGATGTTTGTGACTGTGCTCTTCTCTCCATGAGTTGCTGTGTCCTCTTAAAGTATGAGCCAGAGTGTCATTTCTTAATTTGTTTCTTATCAGGTATTTTGTCACAGTGACAATAAAAGTAACTAATATATAGATGTATATTATCATATATATTTATTTCAGTGTATGCATATAAAAAAAATTTCCAAATGTATTCTTCAAAATCCTTGCTCCACTTTGGGTTGTTCTTACCAGCAATGTCTCAGTTCCAACTACTCCATCTCTTTGCCAGTACCTGGTACTGCTGTGTGTGTGTGTGTGTGTGTGTGTGTGTGTACAGTATCTCAAGGTGTATTCAGGAACAGTTTTACTCTCTTTGCCTTTTATTTCTCATAGCTTATTGTTCTGGGCAGGCCCTCCAGCAGAGTGGTGAGAGCAGATTGTATTTAGCCAGATCCTTTCTTAATTAGAAAAAAAAAATGGAGTCTTTTACCATAATGTTGACTATGGGACTTTTGCAGGACATTGTTTATCAATGAAAGGATAATTATTTTCTCCTAGTTTGCTGAGTCTTATCATGAAAACATAATAAATTATGTCAGATACTCTTGTTTAGTTTTTGTAGTTGTTCCTCTTTTTTCACCTAATAAAGTGACTATACATAGGGTTAGGAAATATATATAACTCTTGATGGTGAATTGCACTGATTAACTTTGTACTGAAGTGGACTTGTAGCCCTGAGCTACACCAGGGCGTCTTCTTTGGTCATGAGAAACTTCTCTTCTTATGTATCATAGGTTTGATCGTCTCATGTCTTATTGAACATTTTAGTGTTATATTTTAAAGATATTGCTGATAATTTTATTATAGTATTTACAATATTTGGTCTCAGGAAAGTGCTGTTAACTACAAATTTTATTTCTCTAGAGATAAGGACTGTTTAGTTTATCTTTATTTCTAGTGAAGTTGGTACCTTGCATCTTTGAGAAACGTCAGTTACATTTAAGTTGTCAAACTGATGGCCATGAAACTGTGTGTAATATTTCCTTATCATCTTTGAATATCTGAAGGATCTTTAGTGATGCACTTCTTTTTATTCTTAATATTGCTTCACACACACACACACACACACACACACACACACACACACAGAGAGAGAGAGAGAGAGAGAGAGAGAGAGAGAGAGAGAGAGAGTGAGTCTGATTATAGGTTTATCTACTTTATCCATCTTCTCTAAAACTTAGATGTTGGTTTCAATTACCTTTCTTGTTCCCTTCTCCCTCTTCAGTTTCATTGATATCTGTATTTTTTTATCACTTTCTTGCAACTTGCTATTCAGGTTTAATTTTCTCTTTAGATTTTACAATGGAAGGCTAGGAATACGTCCCTAGGTCCCCAGTTTACAATTTTTCTTTTTATAAAGCAAACATATTTGCTAGGAACTAATTCTTCAGGTGAACCCTGGCAAAATTTGACATTCTAAGACATTTTCATTTTTATGGATTTCACATACTTCCCAATTTTCCTTCTGACTTCTTTTTTTTTTTTTTTGGTTTTTCGAGACAGGGTTTCTCTGTGTAGCCCTGGCTGTCCTGGAACTCACTCTGTAGACCAGGCTGGCCTCGAACTCAGAAATCCGCCTGCCTCTGCCTCCCAAGTGCTGGGATTAAAGGCGTGCGCCACCACCGCCCGGCTCCTTCTGACTTCTTTACCAATAGATTATTTAGAAATCTCTTGCACAATTTTCAAATTTTGTGGATTTCTTTACTGATTTCTACTTTCATTTCTGGAGAATAAATAATGTATTTTCAGTTACTAGATTTTTGTATTTGTAAAAAATTCTATTAGTCATCAGGCATGATGGCATACACCTTTAATTCCAGCACTTGAGAGGCAGAAGTAGGAGGATCTCAGTTCTAGGCTAGCCGGGGTTACATGGGAACACCTTAGATCAAAATAACTAAAACAAAACAAAACAAAAATGTCTTAGTACCTAGACTCTATTGACCTTACAGGTGTGGATGAATAAACATTTGCTATGATTCGGTGCTGTCTGTCTTTCAAGAGAAAAGCCAAGTGTCTCCATGGTTTTAGTAACTCTTCAGACTCTTAAACATTTTAGAATTAAAACAAAACAATATAAAACCCAAACATTTTTGTCCAGATTTTCTAATTCTTTCAGAGAGAGGACTGCTGATTATAATCTACTCTGCCATTACCTGTATCTAGACTGCTCCATTTTCCTGTAACACAGAGAACTCTTTTTTATCAATGTTATCCAGCCAGTATATGTTGAGTTTTTGGTTCTTTCAAACAAAAATATCCTAGCTATGGGAAGTAGCTCACAGGCCAGGAAATGAGAAGAGAATACCATAACTAGAATTATTTTTAAATTTAACTTAAAAACTATGAAATAGATTAGAACACAGTTTCATAAGAGGAGGAAGTACATAGGCTTTTACTATGTTTACTTTTAGGTAAAACTATTTCCAAATGAAGAAAGATGGTTACCTTTACACTCCGGAGGGTGGTTACTCCAAGTGTTATGGCCAGCACAGTATAGCATGCTCGTTCCAACAAGGGAAAATTCATCTGGTCCTGGGTTACGATCACAACTGTAAATTACTGCTTCGTGGTATTTGAATATTTTTATATCAGTAAAACTGTGTGTTCCATTTTTTATTTTTGGAGGTGGTAAACAATAGACCTCTTTATAAAAAGGAAAAAGGGGAAATAAAAGTTAAAAATAAGATAGCGTCTTTACGCACTACACTCTTAGAAAGTTCTACAAATTATTTTAAACAAATTCATCAATACAAGATTTCTGTAATTTATTTATGACCTCAATTTTCATCTAGAGGAGAGTTTCTATGACAAAATCCATCACTCCAAGTTTAAAGCACTAAGACATGATCCTTTAGGACAAATACTCATTTTCCTAACAAGGGAAAACACCAAGTTTATTTGTGAGACCATGCTAAGTTTTGTGCTACTCTATAGGGAAGATGATGATCGACTGATGAAAAACTGTGATGTAAAAAATTAAACTGAACACTGATGAGATATGTGTGGTAAGAGACGGCTACTTTCATTCAGTAGGCTGGCGGCTTACAATCATACTGGCATATTATCAGTTATCATTTTCATTCTCACAGTCCAATAAGCTTTTGCAGAAGCTACAAAGTTTGATAATCAAGTGTATTAATTCCCAATGTCTTCCTCTAAGCCAAATATTGAAACGATCACAACCGGAAAGCAGTGTCCCTTAGCCTTACTTTTTGAAATTTCGATAAAAACATCTGAGTTTATTGTCCTTAAAAAGAAATAATTGTTTTAAAGCATCTCCAACATGATTAATATCAATAGATATAACCACGGAGAAAGGTTTTTTGGGGGGAGTTCTTATCAATCTAAAATCATAATAGGGTCCTCAGGCCAAAATGGTTGAGAACTCAGAGTCTAAACTTTAAAAAGAGAATTTACTTACTTTTACAGCTTGGGACATGGCCATTCCAGTATGCATCATCACCTTTAAGCACACAGTGTAGAACTGACATACCAACTAAGTAATAACTAGATGAGCAAAGAAAAAAAAATTACTACTTTCTTTGGTAGCTGGTGAGAGACACACAGCAATGAAGGACAGTTTTAAATAGTTTTTTTCCCTTAGTATAGTAATTTGAGGGATAGGTTTTTAAGGTATAATGAAAGTATTAAACAACAGAAATAAATTTAAATCAGATGAAGAGTTTGTCTGTGAACACACGCTGCGGTATCTAGGAACATGTGATGTCTCCTGGCATCTTTGCTACCTCCTACAGTCATATCACTATGCTTCTGCATCTTTGCTCATCCATTCTGCTCTGGGAGGAGCAGAGAAGGAGAAAGGATTCCTTAGGAAGGACTGTCTGGGCTGGCTCCCGTCCTAGTTCCATGACTGATGGCTACTTAACCTCTGGCAGACCATTTAAAGTTTCTCTTGTTCCTCCCTCAGCTGAAAACATACAAATAGCTAGGTGTGGTAGCATACAAGTTTAATCCCAGAACCCAGGAGGTAGAGGCATGCATGTTTCTATGAGTTCAAAGCCAGTTTAGTCTACACAGCAAGCTCCAGGCCTACCTAGTGAGACCTCTCATAAAAAAAAAAAATCAAACATTTCATAGGATTGTTCAAGAGATTTAGATAAACTAGAGTCTGATATACAGCAAGTAGAAATAATGTTCTCTCTTACTTATTTTATGATCATAATGTCTTTCTAGAAGCTCAGGATTAATCCTATCATGTCTCTCCATGATTTAAATCCACAGATTATTATTTGGGACCCTCCTTGTCACCACTATGAAGTACTCTTCTCTGGTATTTGTTATTTTGCTCGATGGATTTTGTACCTACTGGGTTTCTCAACAAGGTTACAGTGTCTTTGAGAAAGATTTATGGCCTGAATGTTTGGTTCCCTAAATGTGCCTAGAAATTTTCCTCCACATAGCTTTAATTGGATGTTTTTATGTGATAGTTAAAAAATGATCAATGAAATTCTGTGTACAGTCACACCCTACTTTCCCCAAGAACTCATAATTACTTCTGAGAGAGCCCTAGGGAATAAAGACTGTTACTCAGTGGCTAATGCCTCCTTTTGAGACATTTCAGGTTAAGTAACAGTCTAGAAAACAATGTTTTCCGACTGAAATATCTTGTTACATGGTGGTTAATATGAGTCGTCTTAACATTCGACTTGTTAATACCTTCCAGAATTCTCCTTTGGTTAGCAATTCTACCTCAGTTTCATGATAACCCTACTTCAGCCTTGAGTTGCAGTGGCTATACTTGATTGGGAAGGGTAAGGTCACTATAATTACCCGCCCTCTTTGGAGCTGTATCCCAGACTGGTCTAGAACTCACTGTGTGTCCTAGACTGCCCTTAAACTCATGGAGATCCATCTGTCTCATCCCCCTGAGTGCTGGAATTTCAAATATGAATCATTACCCCTGGGATATTTTCCCATTCTTAATGTTGGTCATAGACATATTATTAGATACAGCAAGTATTATACATACATGTTTTCCTTCAGTTTCTTTATTTATTGAATATCTCTCCTATTTCCATAAAGTACCCAAATATTGATTGGCTAGGAGCAGCACAACTTGTCACATAGAAGCAAAATTAAGGTATATTTATTTGAATGCTTAAAAAGAGAAGTAAAATAATGGAGTCAGGAACATTTACCTTATTTCCCATAAGGACCAACTTACCCTTCCATACAAGTAAATTTAGCTCGAGCACCCCATGAAAATCTGCCATCTATGTAGTGTACTTTGCCGAATGAAGGGTCCTGTAACACAGTACATTGAACTTCTAGAAGAAAATAACAATGAAAATTTTTATCCAGCTCCAGTGCCAGTTGCACTTGAATCAATGTCAAAAATCACATATGGTTCTTTTGCGTGTGTGGCTTATTTAATGATTTCATTCTAAGAGTGTGGTGGTTCGAATAAGATGCCCTCCATAAAGGCACTTGAATAGTGGGCCCCCTGTCGGTGGCTGTGTGGGGAAGAGTAGGAAGTGTATGAAGCCATGCTGGAGGAAGAGTGTCACTGAAATGGGGTGTGCTTTGAGGTTTCAAAAGATTTGTTCTATTCCCATTATACTTGCTGATCCTGCTTGCCATTCTGAGATGGAAGCCCCCATTTCTTTCTGCCACCATGTCTGGAAAACCATTATGGATCTAACCCCTGAGACTATCAGCCCAATTAAACCTGGTCATGTTATTTATCTCAGTGTCAGAAAAGTAACGAAGACAAAGGGGAAGCACAAGAGTAGCAATTAGAAAATCAACTAAGGAAAAAAAAAATAGATTCCCTATAAATTTCTCAAAGCCTGAGGGGAAAAAAACCCTCATTTAAATCAAAGCCTTGTTTCACACAGGAATCTCATCCCTGCAATAGGGGTATATGACCCCATTCTAAAATGTCTAAAATCAATCAAACAATCAAGCAATCAAACAAACAAAAAGTTGAGTTTACTTACTAGTACAACCATCGTCTGAAATAGGGACCCATGTGTGATTTGGCTCACAGGTAGCAATCATCAGGTATGGAAACAGATATCGGTACCCTTTTTTACACTTGTATTCTATTGTCTCTCCAACCGCGTAATAGAGTTTAGGTGTACCCTTGAGTTCCATGGCTTCAAATGGCGGTGGCAGTTCACAGGCATCTAGGAACAGTACAGCAAGAGCATGAAGATGCAGTGTGAGTGCCACTTTTATCAACTGGAAAATGTTATCTTATAGCGGGAAGGATAGAAAAAGTAGAAATGTTCTCAGCAAGATTCTAAATGTGGCATGCCTTTCTTTACTCAAGCAGCAGCGACAGAGCAAGAACGCCGTGACTTGTTCAAAATAACACCTATTAAATAATCTTTATTCAAAAGTAAAAAGATATGATTGATGGTTTGCGTTTTTTAAAAAAGAAAGCTATGAGAGCATCATGTTCTGATGACTGTTATCCTAAGACATGGCTCATGAAACTGTTAAGGACTGTGTGTCGTTAATTAGCACTTGTCTAGTACCCAGTACCAAAGCTGACTGAGTACTGTGATTGAAATTCAAATTCTTTATTATTCAGGAAATTTGCTTTGATGATATCTGAAAATCATATTTCTTTGCTGTTTTCATCCACTCTTTAAAAAAAATTTTATTAGTTTAGCTGTAAACATTTCTGTGTTAATGTTTCTTTCCTGTCAAAATATTTACACTTTGCTAGTTTACTATGGATTCATTTTGCATTGCTGCTATAATTAGAAAGTGAATTCCAAATACTGTGGTTTGTATTTTCCCATAAGTACAGTGATAACAGATACCAGAACTTATTTTTTCATAACAATAGTGATAAGGATTCTTTGTAAAAAAATTAGAAATACCAAATACTCAGCACTGTGCCAAACATATCTTTGACTAACTTGTCTTTGTGCTCATCATTTAAACAGAGTTCCCCTCTATTGGACAAGAAAACTGAAGAATCACAAGTGGAGAAACCACTTTAGGAATGCTAGTGTAGGTAGCACACTAGGTGTCAATCTAGGCAACCTGTGTCCAGGCTACACTGGGCACCACTGCCAATGCAGTTGTCCCTTTCTAGTCCTCATCTGGGACTCCCCAAGGCAGATGCCACGGTATCCTGTGTTTAGTCCTCAAGAAATTGCCTTTTATGATGCTTGGGGACATTACAGCAGCTCTAGTCTAGACTCAAGATGACTGAGCCAAGGATCACATTGGATCAAGTTGTTCCACACATCGGATAAACACATCATAACTTGAACTGCTCCAAAGTAGCCACTCACCTCTCATGATTCGTTTTAGTACTCTACCGTTCTCTTGTCTCTTTCGTGTCAAACTAAGTAACTACTGGTCAGCTGTGTCCCACCTGGGAATGTCTTTGCTTACATTAATCCTCAGTCTAGTTCCTAAGTATGTATGCTGAGCAACTCTCCTCTTTTTTTAGACACTTGGAGGGAACATCTTGTGTTTCAACTCTGAAAGCCGCACTCAGTTCCATTTCTTTGGGCTGTCCCCTATTAGGGTATTTCAGATAGGTCACATGTGGCTGTGTTTAACAGGTAAGGTGAAATCTAGTCATCATGTGTCCACAATGTCCAGGACCAGCTTCTCTCAGGAACATGAGAGTGCAACAAAGACACTTGCAAGGATTATATTGTCATGATTTTCATAATGAAAATAGTCATTTTAAAGATTTATACATTGGAGAAAGAAGAGAGGCATTTATTATTTTTCTTTTTCTTTCTTTTTTGTCTGTTTACTAGGATTTTATAACTCAGCATTTGACCATATAAAGACTATTTCCTGCATTGTAGAACACAGTAACGACTGAGATACTAGTATAGGCATTTACTGATCGAAGCAAGACCTAAAATAGGCCTAAGAGAGCAGCCATAACAGGAGACTGCAGCTTCACAGAAGCAGTCACTCTTCTGAAGGAAAGAGATCAACCTCAAAATGTGACAGATTCTCTTCTGCACTCCTGATGAGCACTGTCCAGCTACACACCGCTTTCCTTACAAATCGAGTTGTTCTGAGAATGAGACCTTCTTCTCCTTGAATTTCCCCTACCTAGCACAATAAGTTTTCCTTTTATGTTTTCTGGGTTTCAATCTATATTTTGCTTTTCAGATTTTATCTTGTTTTCCTTCATTTATGTTATATCATATTCATTTTTTTCTGTTTTTCTCTATTTCAAATAACTGCAGAATCTTCTTTTAGCTCATCCCAAACATTATTCTTTAAAAAAAAAATCCATAGGTTTCCAATTATGCTAGTACCTGCCCCTTCTATTTCTTGTGAAGTGAATTTTTATAGTGATTGATGAAAAGCAAAGTTTTTTTTTAAAGAACTTTCCTCCTGCAAGCAGGAAGAATCTTTTCTGTGCGTGCTCCAAGCCTTGTCCAAATATATTTAACATTCTGGTGGTTGAGTTTTGTAAGAGCACCAACAATAAGACAAAAACAAAAACAAAACAAAAAACAAGGAAACATTAGGAGTCACTCATGTGAAAAATGAAAAGATCTCTTGCTTCCTCTTCAGAGAGGTAGAGATCAGAAAATCGAGTTTTATAGATATGATTGCAAGTGGAGAGACGAGTGAAGCTGGGTCATGCCTACTGAGGATCTTCAGAGGAGGTCTCCCTGGGAGGTAAGGCTGCAACTAAGTCTGAAGAGAAGACAGTCAGATACAAAATATCAGGAGAACGTTCCATGTAAGAAACAGTGACAAACCAGTGGTTGAAAGTGTCAGAGTTTGGATTAAATGTCCTGCCCCTCAGTTATTTTAAGATTCAGTCAGAGAAGCATGTTCCTTGACTCCAGAGCATGGTTCTAGTCCTTCATGTTAAGCTTTGGTCAATATTTGCTTCGGTTAATATTTTAGCAAATATTCATAGATCATATACTATGTATCTGCTATAGGGGATCTATCAGCATGATAAAGTGCCTGCTTACATTCCAACACATACATGTGTGTGAACAATCAGTGGAAGACTATCACAGAAACAAGACTGGTTTGTCACTGCCTCCCAACATGTCTATCCTCGGGACCAGTGCAGAGCCTTTAACATAGAAGGCAAAAGTTGCTGAATGGATGCCGATAAGGAAAAATACAGAAATACATAAAGACTACATGAACAAGATTATGTATATATCAGACACAAAAACAGAGTGTTACAAACAAAAGAAATTGAAGGTCTTTGTGTAAATTTTTACAAAGTAACCATGTATAGTATTTATTCCATGTAATGAAACACCATTCAAATGTGGTTGTATAAACTAATTTTTTCGATAAAAGTTAGATGGATAAAACTAAGTTTAAGTTCATGAGCCAAGCTGAAAACCAGAGTGTTACTTATACTTCTTGTCTCATGAGTGATGTTTACACTGTTCTTTTTCTGCTATGACTTTATCTGTAAAGGACGATGATGTCTCAGAGCCATTTGGTAATGGAATCAGACACTGTTTATATTGGCTAGGAATGGACAATAATTCCAAGCAAGGAGTAGGGGTGTGACGAATGTGATTAAACATACTGTATGTGGGAAAAAATCTAATAAAACTGTAAAGCCAAACAAAATAGCTATTTGCAAACCAAGACCATACTGTCTCAGGCAACGAGGACATTCGACTTAAGATAAAACAGGCCTAGTGTGACTTTCCCTCCCTTCTAAGCCCAGAGTTGCTTACTCACAGCATAAGCAGTGCAAGCTGCTACTGACACAGTGGAGCCCTAGGTGAACATCTACCCCTCTCTCCACTCAGGTTGACCACCCCTTAAGTGCTGCCTACTAAGCAGGTCTGCACTCTGGGGATGGGGAGTACATGATCTCCACAGCCACAGCAAAACTCATACATTTGCACAACCCTAGGAGAACTCTACCAGGTCCTCCTGAGCTCCTCCCAGCTTCTCTGCGACACAGCCTTTCTCCTGGATCCTACCAGATAAACTAGACAGCAGAAACAGAAGGGCCTCAGCGGAGATGCCCAGGGAGCACCAGAACAAAGTGCAGCTCTTCCTTCTACGACGGGGATGCATCGAGTCTGGCTTAAGAGGCGCCGCTGTCATGTCACCAGACTGAAAGGAAAACTGGTCGCCGGGAAGCCAGAGGGCAAGTTTTGAGCTAGGTGAACAGACGCAACAATCCTGAAACTAAACAGTGCAGAGCGACACAACAGGTGGGCGTGGCCAGGCCGCTCCTGGCCGGTTAGTGACTGGGAGTGCAAGCTAGGCCAATCAGCTGGCAGTGAGGCGGGACCTCAGTTCAAGGGGCTGGGCCATAGGGTTGAGCTCCCGCCAAGAATTTTGGGCTTCTCAACTATTTTCCATTGTCCCGCCTTGCTGGGCTCCTTCCTTACCACTTTTAACTCCTCAGGTATGTAGCTGCATTACTCCCAAGTCCTCGGCAGCTTTGCTGCACTATTCGACTTGGAGGCACAGGCCTCGCCCTCAGCTGTGCAGAGCTCCTCCCTCATCAGGGTTGTGCTCCGCTCAGGGCTGTCTTCCTACTGTTGCTGCTTTAGGTATTCCTCCTTCAGATTCTCTGTATAGCGGTTTTAAGGTGTGCTTACCAGCTGGGGCGAACCTTGGCTCACATATACAAGGAGGCCACTTTATTGAGGAAGAGTGGAAAGACTTGTTGGCCCTGTGATCACTGCTCCGAACTTGAACTTGAAGAATAAAGTCAGGAACCTAAAAACAGAGACCTAAAGCACTATCAGGAGGCTGCCTCAGACATGTTTTTGGCATTAGTCACATCTGATTAGGGCAAGTACTTATATTTTCCTCATTTGAATTCTCTTACAACCTCATCTTACGAATCCTCAAATCTCAACGGTCTCCTCACTGGGTTCTTAGTTTCTAAAGCCACCCTCCCTACACACACACACACACACACACACACACACACACACACACACACACCATTGTTGCTGTAAATTATTGTACAAACACTTCCCTGTGGGAAGCATTGCAAGCCCACTCCTGAAGTTGAGCTATTATGTGTTAGCCCTGCTTTGGAATGCTTTCAGTGACCATGTTGACAGTGAACATCCCAGGATTCTGACAAATGCCTGGAGTCTAGAGTCAAAATGAAGGGAGAGGATTCAAATTAGAGGTGTTTTTCCCAGGTCATGAGAAATGTTTTATTAAAGTGTCAGAGAAGCAAGGAGGGAAGGGGAAAAGGTGTGTGGAGCAAAATAGTACTCTTAAATTCCTGTAAGCTTCTTGAAGGGTGGTAGGACAGTGGGGAGGAGGGGCATTTATTCAAGTGGTGGAGAACTCAGCTGTTAGGTGCTTTTTGTGTGTCTCATGAATTAAGCTTACATTGTGGTTTTCAGAGGGTGGTCGTAGTGGTTTGAATGGGAATGGCCCCACAGACTCATGTGTTTGATACTTGGTCCATAGAGAGTGGGACTATTTGAGGTGTGGCTTTGTTGCCGGAGATTTGACTTTGTTGGAAGTGTGTTACAAGGCAGTGGGCCTTGAGGTCTCAGAAGCTCAAACCAGTTCTCTGACTGTTACCTGTGGATTCTGATGTAGCACTCCCAGCAGTTTCTACAGCACCATGTCTGGCTGCATGCCACCATGCTGTCTACCATGATGATAATGAACTAAACCTCTGAAAATGTAAGCCAGCCCCAACTTTTTCTGTCTAAGAGTTGTGTTGGTCATGGTATTTCCTCACAGTAATACAACCTTAAGACAGTGGGATAACAGCTACAGGCCAGCCGACCTTTCTGCATAGTGGATCAGGATCTAACTTCATCTCTAGGAATTCAGGTAAAAAGTAAAAAGAAAAAACAACAACAACAACAAAAACAAGTATAGAAACAAGGACTGTTCTCACAAGGACACTTGCTTTTGGCCTTACATTTGTCTCTGTGATTTTTGTTCTCGTAGTGTGTTGGGAATGTACATGTCAGTTTGGGTGTGTGCACCTGCACATGTAGGTAAGTGTGCATACATGAGTGTGTGTTGGTTGTAGAGGCCAGGGTCAACGCCTGTTGTCGTCCTTGGTCACACTGTCTTCATTAGGGTTTTATTGCTGTGAAGAGACACCATGACCATGACAACTCTTATAAAGGAAAATATTGAATTGGGGTTGGCTTACAGCTCAGATGTTTATTAGTCCATTATTGTCATGATGGGAAGCATGTGACCTGCAGGGAGATGTGGTGATGGAGGAGGAGCTAACAGTTCTGCATCTGGATCCTCAGGCAGAAGAAGAAACTGTGAGCCACTAGGCCTGGCTTGAACTTCCTAGTCCTCAAAGCTCACCCCTTTGTGACTCACTTCTTTCCACAAAGCCACACCAACTCCAACAAGGCCATACCTCCTAATAGTGCCATTCCCTAAGGACATATGGGGGCCATTTTAATTTAAACCACCACACACTCCAACTTATTTTGTGAGCCAGACTGAATCTAAAGCTTATTGAGCCAGCAAGCCTCAGGATCTTCCTGTCTCTGCTTGTCCATCTCTTCCCCTTCAGGACTTCCTATGTGGGTTCTGGGGATCTGAATGCGAGTCCTCATGCTTGTGCAAGAGGCATGTAATGGGGAAATACATCATATTACAAACTTTCAAGAATTCCCTGATATCTTTTTGCGCTAAAGTGCCACTTTTTGTATGGTGGTGGTGGGGGTTAGTGGCCTCTGCATAGGCCTTTTTCTTCCCTTTTCATAATCTAAAGTCAAGTTGATATCTAGCTCATCCTTATGGTGCCTGTCTCAGGGTTTCTATTGCTGTGACAAAATACCATGATCAAGAAGCAAGATGGGGAAGGAAGGGTTTATTTGGCTTTATTTGGTTCCTATAGAACCCAGTATCACCTGCCTAGGGGTAGCCCCAAAAGAAGAGCTGACCCCCCAAACCCCAAATCAATCTGTAATTATGAAAATGCCCTACAGGCGACTCCACAACCCAATCTTATTGAGGCATTTTCTCAATTGAGGCTCCCTCCTCTCCAGTGACTTTATTTTGTCTCCAATTGACATAAAACTAATCAGGACAGTGTCAAACCAATTATTATGTAACACACCTTTAAAGAAGCTAGTAAAACACAGAAACAAGCAAAAATTAAGTGCAAATATTATGTTCAAGATCCAGAAATATTCTGACATTTATTGAGATCATAAGCATAGCTCAATATCTGTCTATCTATCTGTCTGTCTGTCTGTCTGACTATCTATCTATCTATCTATCTATCTATCTATCTATCTATCTATATTAAATATACAGGAACAGTTGTTATAATTTTTCTTCATATGTATAGTGTGTATGCATGTGTGTTCATGCACACATCTGTGCATACCTCTTTGTGTGTATCTCCATTCATGTGCCTTTGAGGCCTGCGGTTGATATTGGGAATCTACAGCTTAAAAAAGAGGTCTTTATTTTTATTCTATGAGTATTTTGCCTGAATATACGTCTGAAGACCATGTGTATGCAGTGCCCTCAGAGGACAGATGATGGTTTTAGACTCCCTGGAATTGGAGTTACAGATGGTTGTGAGGCCAGCCACCATGTGGATGCCAAGAACTAAACCCTAGGTTCTATGCAAGAATAACAAGTGCTCTTAATCATCTCTCCAGCCCCAGGAATCATGTTCAGTTACTCCCCCCTTCATCTTCAGAGGCAAGGTCTGTCTTAGTTAGGGTTTTACTGCTGTGAACAGACACCATGATCAAGGCCCTTTTATAAGAAGAACATTTAATTGGAGATGGCTTACAGGTTCAGAGGTTGAGTCCATTGCTATCAGGGCAGGAGCATAGCAGGGCCCAGGCAGGCATGGTAAAGGAGGAGCTGAGAGTTTAAAATCTTGTTCTTAAGGCACACAGGAGAAGGCTGGCTTCCAGGCAGCTAGGATGAGGGTCTTAAAGCCCATGCTCACAGTGAGAGGCTACTCCAACAATGACACATCTCCAAATAGTGCCTCTCCCTAAGCTAAGCATATTAAAACCACCACATTCCACTCCCAGTCCTCCATAGTCTTGTCAAAACACATGAGTCTATGGGAGCCATATCTAGCCATAGCATAATAAAAAATACATTTAGTCCAACTTCCAATGTATTCACAGTCTATAGCAGTATCAACAATGTTGAAGATCCAAAGTTCAAAGTCTCTTCTGAGATTCATCTAATCACTTAACTGTAATCCCCAAAGCAATATAGGAAACCAGCTGGGCAAACTTTAAATTCTGCATCTCCATGTCTGATGTCAAGGAGGTCTTCAGATCTCCAACTTCTTTTTCATCTTTGTTGACTGAAACAAACTTCTTTCTCCTGGGCTGGTTCCACTCCCTGTTAGCAGCTGTCTTCAGCAGATAGCCCATGGCTCTGTCATCTCAAACATCTTGGGGCCTCCAAAGCAACTTCAACGTTAACAGCTTTTTATTCCAGTGTCTTGCATCCACACATGATCTTCTGGGCTCCTACAAAGGACTTTCATCACTTCTCCACCTCTGCCCTCTGTAGCACTCTAGGCTCTGGTTGACTCCAATCCATTGCTGCTGCTTTTTGGTGGTCTTCCCATGGTACTGGCATCTCCAATATGCTGGGCTTTTCTGCTGCAAGTAGGCTTCATCAATAGCCTTTCTTCATGGTGCCAAGCCTCAACTTCTTTGTGTGACACATTCAGTACTGGGCCTTCCCTAGATTCTCACAGTACCAAGCCTCAGCTGCTCTCCATGACCCCTTCATACATTCAAAACCAGTACCACCTGGGTAATTCTTACACACTACAAGTCCAGCCGCAGCACAGGGTACAATTTTGGCTATCTCTGGAACACAGCTTCTTTGTGCTCTCACAAAACATTTTCAAGATTTCACTTCAGTAATGCTGGTCTCTTCTTAATCACCACTAATTTCTAAGCTCCAGCTAACCAGCATCAATTGTCCCGGTAGTCCCTTCTATTTTTGACTCTAAAGCCAGAGCCACATGGCTGAATCTGCCCAGTTCTGCTGATTGCTGGAGCTGGAACATGGCCCCTTGTTCTATTAAATTATCACCAGCCTTCTGTTTTCAAACTCCTTCATGGCCTAAGCTTGGATGTTCTAGAACTTGCT